TCTAGAGGATTGAGGATGAATGGTGATTGAATCAAATGAGGATTCTGGAAGATTGAGGATGAATGGTGATTGAAGCACATGAGGATTTTGGAGGATTGAGGATGAATGGTGATTGAAGCACAAGAGGATTTTGGAGGATTGAGGATGAATGCATTTTGAGGCAGGACTGTCTTATGATTTTGAAGGATTTGGCGTTGGTTATCCTTCATTTAAACACGAGTGCAAAGTTTTGGGATGAAGAGGATTTTGGAGGATTGAGGATGAAGGCATTTTGAGGCAGGACTGTCTGACAATTTTGAAAAATTTAGGCGGAGTTGCAAAATTTTGAAAAAATTTGGAGGATTTTGGAGGATTGAGGATGGTTGTAAGCAACAAGGGCCTAGGGGGTTAGGGTTAAGTGTATGTAATAATAACACCTAACTTCCGGTTTGATGACGTCACAGTATTTGGAAGCAAAAGGTCAATATAAAGTGTAACAGATGTCATTTTGTTCGGCAAAAAACAAAGTCATGAGACAGGGATCATATGATGGATTTAAATTTAAAATAAAATGATCATTGTTGAATGCTCCCTACAGTAACTTCCGGTCGATGACGTCATGAATATGAAATCTTGCAAATTAATTAGTGGTTTAATTAGTATATATTAAGGGAATAAATGTGTGTTGCGGAGGTTTTTATCACTCTGTTTAAGACCACTTAGAGTCTGGGTGCTGATAATTACCCGAGCCGAAGGCGAGGGTAATTATCAGCACCCAGACTCTAAGTGGTCTTAAACAGAGTGATAAATACCGACGGAGCACATATTTATTCCCATTCATAAATACCTTTTCGGTAAAAAAAAATCATATAATTCGTTCAAAACATCCCGATTTTGTTCAACAAATTCACTTTATGCTTTTTGAAACATCCCTCTTGCAAAATAATGGAGTGTTCAGCTGGCGAGTAAGATGTAAACAACCCTTTTATGGAGATTGACGCGTGCGTATCATGTTCTGCGCGATGTCGCGCAGAACGCACCTGGCGCGTTGCGTTTTGAATTTAGAACTATAAAATTCTGACTCCCTGGTAGTGTTGCGCATGCCTACGTGAGGATTGTGAACGTTCAACCAATGAAACGATAAGAGGCACTGGATTTTTAGGAGTCCACATTATATTGTGACACTGGAAAAGTGTTTAAGACCAGCTAGCCATGTCTTTATCATCCATTTAAGACCGGCCACGTGACGGGCTCTCGACCAATAGGAATGCGTAAACTGTCTTAGGTATTTATGAATAAGGGAATAAATGTGTGCTCGAGAGGTTTTTATCACTCCGTTTAAGACCGCTTAGAGTCTGGGTGCTGATAATTACCCGAGCCGGAGGCGAGGGTAATTATCAGCACCCAGACTCTAAGCAGTCTTAAACGGAGTGATAAATACCGACCGAGCACATATTTATTCCCATTCATAAATACCTTTTCGGTTAAAAAATATGAAATAATTCGTTCAAAAAATCCCGATTTTGTTCAACAAGTTCACTTCATGCTTTTTGAAACATCCCTCTGGCAAAATAATGGAGTGTTCAGCTGGCGAGTAAGATGTAAACAACCCTTTTATGGCGATTGACGCGCGCGTGGCATGTTCTGTGCGATGTCGCGTAGAACGCACCTGGGGCGTTGCATTTGGAATTTTGAACTATAAAAATATGACTCACTGGTAGTGTTGCGCATGTCTACGTGAGGATTGTGAACGTTCAACCAATGAAACGGTAAGAGGCACTGGATTTTTAGGAGTCCACATTTTATTGTGACACTGGAAAAGTGTTTAAGACCAGCTAGCCATGTCTTTATCATCCGTTTAAGACCGGCCACGTGACGGGCTCTCGACCAATAGGAATAGCTAAACTGTCTGAGGTATTTATGAATGAAAGTTACGAGTTCCTATCATAAACCGTTTAGGAGAAAACCCGCGGAAACGTGCTGTACGGAAAAAAAGAAAGAAAGAAAGAAATAAAGACTAGAGGTTCGCGTTTGTTGTTACAAATGCAGAGTGGTCGGGCAGACATTTCTTTTCAAAAAAACACTGCCGTGTTAAGTTATGAATATTTTTATGTTAAAGAACAAAGGATCACGAAATTAAATCCTGTCAGGAACAATCAATTATTTTCTGGTAAAATTCAGTAAACATTCTATGTACACAAGTTATTTCTGGCTTGATGACGTCATTATTCAAAAACGGGAAGCGAATACTGATTTAGTTTGGAGTGGATAAATGTTCATTGTGAAGTTTAACCCTAACCCCCTAGGCCCTTGTTGCTTACAACCATCCTCAATCCTCCAAAATCCTCCAAAATTTTTCAACTCCGCCTAAATTTTTCAAAATTGTCAGACAGTCCTGCCTCAAAATGCATTCATCCTCAATCCTCCAAAATCCTCCTCATCCCAAAACTTTGCACTCGTGTTTAAATGAAGGATAAACCAACGCCAAATCCTTCAAAATCATCAGACAGTCCTGCCTCAGGATGCATTCATCCTCAATCCTCCAAAATCCTCTTGTGCTTCAATCACCATTCATCCTCAATCCTCCAAAATCCTCATGTGCTTCAATCACCATTCATCCTCAATCCTCCAGAATCCTCATTTGATTCAATCACCATTCATCCTCAATCCTCTAGAATCCTCCAAAACCGCCAGGAGGATTTTGGAGGAGTGAGGTGGGTTAGGGTTATGACGTATGAAAGTATGGAAAATATACGTCAGTCCTTCATTAAAAGAAAATCCAGGAGAGCTATAAATCGCTCTCCTCAAATATTTGAGGAGAGCAAATCCCTCTCTTTAAAATCCATGGATAAACAAAAGGTGAAACGACGGATTAACATTGTTTTTGTTTTGTTTGGAATATCAGGATTTATTCAAGGGGCTGCATTATTATTTGTTTATGCTCAAGTGGTGTTACTTCTTTCGTTTTTGTAACTGTAAAAAGTAAGACAAGTTAAAATTAATTTTTAAAAAGATAACTAAATGGAGATTAATAAAAGGTTTGACTACTGCTTACGCTTTCATTTTTTAATACAGTTGTCAGTTGGTTCATCACTTAATTGTACTTGGAAAATGGAGTTAATAAACGGCACATAAAGCAACTGAATACTTGTATTCAGATTCTTTAAAATTATATGAAAATTTTCAGCCTGAACTATTTCCATTGCACTACGAATGCTACATGAAAAGGGCCTCAAAATGACAAAAACAAGCCTGAAGTATTATCGAAATATTTGCCGTCGATAATCTTAAAAATAATGGAAAATGCAGGTCAAGTATGCACAATGCTAGTCACAACGAGAAACTGGCTAACAATGTCTGAACTTCGCTTGGTACGAGAGCGTGCCGCGTTGGCATTGGCTGGTTACCGCATTTCCATTATGCCTTCTTTGGCCCATAGTGCGCGGCGCAGCGGGAACCAGTCACTGCTGCACTAGCACGTACGGGCCAACGTGTTTTCATACATCAATGCCGTTCATAGCTCAATGTGATATACATGTATGTAGATAGTTCACGTACAGTATACAACCGCTGTACACGCACGATCTTTGACGGTATGTACGAGCTCAGTGTTCGTTCATTTATAGCAAAATTCCGCAGACTGAATAAACGTGAGTTTGGGCATTAATACAAATGAATAATACGTGTAGCTAAAGACTTAAAATCCTTGGCGTTTTTATCAAATCTTATATTTAAACTTCCCGTGTTTGATGAGCCCTCTTTTGGATTTCTGAGGAGCGCTATTTTTTGCGCTCCTTCGAGACAGTCGAGGAGCGCAGTAGTTTGATGACGTCACAGTATATGGCAGCAAAAAGTGAACATTGTAATGGATATCATAACTTGGGCTTCGAAGATATACGACATGAATCGAATTTTAGAATATGGTCGTTTTCAAATTCTCACAGAAGTAACTTCCGGTCTGATGACGTCATGAATTTGAAACCTTGTCAAGTTATTTTTGGTTAATCAAAGAGTATCAAGGAGCGATTTGGTAAAATTTGAACCGATGGTTTTCAAATTAGAAAGAGCAAACACTGTGTTATGTGCCGCTAGGGGGCGCCCTTTCGAAAGATGACGTCATCACTTTTTTTTTGTCCGGCATTCCTCAATAAACACTATCATAATTTATATGTGTGTAGTAAAATGCTTCAGCTTTTGAATTACATTCGGTTTTCATTGCACTTCTGGTAACACCGGAAGTGAAGGTCAAGCGGTTTTGTGTCCGGGAACAAGAAATGTTTCTCACGGCATAATCAACAACCTCACGAAAAACGAACACGATACTCTATTTAGTTCAAAAGATATCTCGCAAACTATTTTGTCAAAATTTGCCCTGAAATCGCATGTAATTTGATCCCTGGTGACGTCATGATGACGTAACAAAATTTATAACATCTTCGTATCATGATACAAGTTCACATTAGGTTTCTGGGTCATACCGTAAACCGTTTGGAAGAAATTCTGCTTTGTTTTGATTTCAGGCTAAAGTTTTCATTTTAAATTCACCTAACTTTGACCTTCCGGTAGACCCGGAAGTAAAGGTTAAGCGAGTTCACGTACACGACAAAAAATGTTTATCATTTCATGGTCTATCTGATTACAGAATACAAACACTATTGATTATTTTGTGCAAGAGTTATAGGTGAAAGTAATTGGTCTTTTTTTTCAGCTAAAATCGCTTGTAATTTGACACCCGATGACGTCATCATGACGTCAGAGTAATATGCACCACTAGGGATGAGGGTGGATATTGGTTGAAAGTTACAAGTTCATACCATGTACCGTTTAGGAGAAAAGCCGCGGAGAAGTATTGTCCGGAAAAAAAGAAGAAAGATTTACCAGAACAATAACAGAGAGTGGTCGGGTTGTGCCCGACCACTCAACAACCATTCTGATATCAAAACCTGACTTTGAGACATTTTGGCAAATGCCCAACTCGCACACAAGCTGACCTCTTTCATACCAAAAATTGGAACACTAACCTGGTGAGTGTGGTTCCTGTGACTGGTGTGATCATCCGTGACATATTGAAGGTTTGGCCTGGGTGGTGGGTACATCTAACATCTTTTTCAGAGTTCTTGATCATCTTTGAAGTGGTCAATCTATGTATAGGAAATATGAAAATTTCGGTACAAGATTTAACACACGTTTATCACTTTTAACACTCAGATTTAGCAATAATTCTGTTGTCTGATTATGATGATGGATTTGTTCTCGTGACAAGATTTAACTATAGAGGAAGGAATTTTGTGTACATAATTTAGTGCCAATTGTCCCACAATGTGCAGTACATGTACATGTAACAAACATAACATAATTGGGAACCTCCAATATCCATGAATGGGTCAATCGTACATGTACCTTCACGTACATGTAATTTTTAAACACGACCAAACTCTTGCATGACCAACTTAGTTTAAGTTCATCGGTTGCAATGAAAGTTAACATATCATTCTCATGCTTTATTCAAAGCAGTATAAGAGTAGATTTGCGCTAGGGAGAATTTTACTCAACTTTTTCCTCCCTGGCAGCCAAAGTGATGGCTAATACTTTTTACAATCTTTATCGCCCACACTGCGGACCCTTAGTTTTCTTTTGTGAGCAAGTTTCAGAACCATATGGCCTACCCACAACATAACAACATGAAACCAATCGAGCTACCCCAGCATTCAGGTTGATTGGGTAGTTGAGTGGTCGGGCACAACCCGACCACTCTCTATTATTGTTACGATTAATCTTTCTTTTTTTTCTGTACAGCACGTTTCCGCGCGTTTTTCTACTAAACGGTTTATGATATGAACTTGTAACTTTCAACATATATCGACCCTCATCCTAAGTGGTGAATATTACTCTGACGTCATTATGACGTCATCGGGTATCAAATTACAAGCGATTTTCGTCAAAAAAAAAGACGATCTTCTGTCACCTATAACTCTTGAACAAAATGATCAATCATGTTCCAACCTTGTAATCAGATAGACCATAAATTGATAAACATTTTATGTCCTCTACGTGAACTCGCTTGACCTTGTCTTCCGGTTCTACCGGAAGGTCAAATTTAGGTGAATTCAAAATGTAGACATTAGCCTGAAATCAAAACAAAGCACCGTTTCTTCTGAACGGTTTACGGTATGATCATAAAACCTAGTGTGAACTTGTACCATGTTACGAAGATGTTAAAAAATTTGTAACGTCATCATGACGTCATCAGGTATAAAATTACAAGCGATTTGATGGCACGATTTGACAAAATAGTTTGCGTTATATCTTTTGAACTAAATAGAGTATCGTATTCATTTTTTCGTGAGGTTGTAGACTATGCCGTGGGAAACATTTCTTATGCCCGGGCACAAAACTGCTTGACCTTCACTTCCGGTGTTACCGGAAGTGCAATAGAAATTGAATTCTAATCTAAAATGGAAGCATTTTACTACAGACAAATACATTATGGAAGTGTTAAATGAGGTATGCCAAACACAAAAACATAATTTTGACGTCATCCCACAAAAGGGCGCCCTCTAGCGGCACATCAAAAACAGTTTAATCCTTTGAAATGTTAAAACTCTCAATCAAATTTTTATTAAATTGCCCCTATATATCACGTGAGCAACCACAAATGAATTTGCAAGATTTCATAATCATGACGTCATCAGACCGGAAGTTACTGTGGGGAGAATTCAACAATGATCATTTTATTTTTATTTTAAATCCATCATTTGATCCCTGTCTCGTGACTTTGTTTTTTGTTCCCCCAAAATGACATCTGTTACACTTAATATTGGCCTTTTGCTTCCAAATACTCTGACGTCATCAAACCGGAAGTTTGCTGTTATTATTACATACACTTAATTTTCATATTTCCATGCGTTATCTTTGCTTAATGATAAACAAGTATCCCCCTTCCCTTCTTTGACTGATGACGTCAGCAAACTGGAAATAACTTGTACGTGTACCTTAATCTTTACTAAAATATATCCTAAAAGACGTATTCTTTTTGAACAAAATAATTGGTAATGGAAATGTTAAAGCTCTTGATCCTTTTTTTCTGACATAAACATACATACATAACTTAACTGGACAATGTCTAATGAAATTGTTTACCCGACCACTCTGCGTTTGTAACAACAAACGCGAACCTCTAGTTGTAAATCTGATATTGTTTTTACAATACTGTAACGATACTGCATTTGAAAGTTGCATTACAGCTGTCATAATGATAGCCACTAACGTATATGATGATGCTTCAATATGGCTGCCTTCATGATGTGTCATCTGTACGTTATGTGTACTCAAAATATAGCCTAAAACACCTTTTTCCACAGCACGGAGGATTTCACTTTCCCAAGCTTAAATGTACATGTAGGCATGGGGGCATGTAGTCTATGAAATAGACCCCGGCGAATGCCGTAGTCTACATCGCGTGAACAGATTTGCTGATTAATTAGGCAAGACCCCGCCTCTCAACCTCCTAGATTTTGACCAATCAGCGGGCGCTTTCTATATCGAGTCTTCGGTCATTCACCCGTTGCGCGTCACATAGACAATGGATTAAAAGAAAACGTGTCACGCGCTCTGTATCATGTTACATGATATGGGGCCGGTTGTTGTTGTATTACAAAGCACTGCTTTCGAATTGACCAATTAAATTCGCATTGCCTGGATATGTTGTTTACATAATCCATTGTTTATATGCTGAGGCCTATAGCCCCAGTCACATGTAGCTCCCATTCACCCAGTACATGTGCGGTCCTACTAAAGCGCGTCAACAAGCGTCAACAAGCGTCAACAAGCCTCAACGGTCGTCAAACGGTGTTTGGATGGCTCTGTAGACTTCGCGCATGCGTAGTATGGCTCTGTATACTTCACGCATGCGTAGTACGGCTAGCTACACATAAACAAGATGGCGGCCAACTTTTACCGACAAATTCGTCATACATTTCGCGTTCAAAAAACCAAGTTTTAAAATAATTTTAACTTTAATTGATATGCAGAAGATGTTCTTTATTGCTTTTTCTACCATATAAAGCTGTTTTTAATGTTCGTTGACGACCGTTGAGGCTTGTTGACGCTTGTTGACGCGCTTTAGTAGGACCCGTACATGTGTGTACATGTACATGTTTGTACAGTATGAGACAGACTTCGCAGGGCTAGTGCCAGCAGTATTTACTTGACCACAAACATTGCACAAGAGTTAAACTGTTGAGATCCTGAATCCATCAAAGTCCACCAAAACTGACAACTTAAAATGACACAGCGCAGCGTATTCAGCGCGCCAAAATGATGTACATATGCACTGTTGCACGATGCAAAGCATACAATCCCCCCCCCATCCCAAATGGTCGAGCCGAATGTAGAGTTGACCTGCCAAGGTCACGCGAAGATCAGCGCACGCACAACGTACGTAAACACACACTTGAACATAACCGTGCATTCGTCAGATCGGAGACGCGAGGCTGGTGAGTAAAAACTCAGATTTTCCACCCCAAAATTTTTTTCCCATGATCCAAATGTCAATCGTTCTAAAACATTTCAGAGTTATAGATAACCAGTTCAACTTTTTGGGTGGATTTGTGTTTCAGAAAGTGGAATTTCAGACAAATGTTTTTCGTCTATCTAAGAGCATTTCCAAAAGCCATTAGAGAGTGCTGACCCCCGAAAAAAGAGCATGCCAGAAGGCTGACGGAGAGAAGCCTTCTGATTCCAGAAGTATACGGTACCTACTCAGCTACTCGATGGTTTTGTTTTCCATGAAAGATGAAGACCCAAAGAAAGTGAGGTGAAATTTTGGAAGTTTGGTGGCGAATGTGTGATGTCCGGATATGGAAAAACCTCCAGATAATTTTTATGAATGAAAATCCAATATTCGTCAAGGTCCTTTGCAAGGTTTTTATCAAGATAAAATAAAATGCGCTACGGTCACGCCACAGCGCCCTCTATTGACGTGTCTTTTTACGGGCGAGCTGCCTAATTTTCTTTTCTTTTTTACAACGTGAAAAAGAACGAAACAAATAAGGCTGACTAAAACTAGAAATTACAATCAATGGTATCGCAAGGCTCATACCTTTATGGCTGTTGAGACGAAGTAATGGGGGAATACATCCAGTCTCGTTAAAACACGTTGAAAAATCTTCTGTCCAAATCTACCGCTAAATTTCCAACAAAATGGCGCAGTGGAAATTGGCCGTTCGTTAGTTCGAGCACTTGACAAACTCAAAGTCACTGACGATAAATTTCATTCCTCCACTATTGCACGTGGTTTGATTAGACTGGCTTCCGGTCCCTCTATTATTGTTCAGACAACATGTTTGACTGCGCCCTCTGTTGAGGGTTGGTGCAGGACAACAATGGTCGTGTTTAGTTCAGTTTTATTTAATGGCGCATAGAATTTAGGCTACAAAAATACAACGGTGACTATATTAGGTAAGGTAAACAGTGAAATATTTGAACAATTTTATTTGTTTCATTTAATAAGCCTATTTAATAATACAGACTTAAAAACCAAATGTAGAAGTTCCTTCCTATTGTCGTAATAATGATGACCGAACTAACTCAATGACAAAAATAATGACATTTAAATTGTTATTATTATATGTATAGGCCAACTTAAGCTACATCACGGTTTTGAATTGATGTGTGAGAATTGCACTCGTATTTAGACAGTCCGTCTGTACGACTATGCATATCTAATGCCTACTTTGCTAGGATTTGTCAAAACCGAAATGTATACCTAGTAGGCCCTACAAGAAACATTTTTATGAAACTGTCCAAATCTGAAACTGGCTGGAAATAGTGGCACTAGACAGCTTGTCTTTGACTGAATCATCTTCAAACTGACTCAACTGCTTTTGGATTTAACTGAGTTTATCACATCATAAAATAAAATGAAGTAAATAATATATGCAAAGTTTCGGCAAATGTCTGAGTGCTTTATTTGCGGCAGTCATGGAGGCTATTTTCCACGTCCCAACAAATGTAAGGCAAGAAACATTAAAACCCTCAACAGCTTTGATGCGATGTTTTTCAAAACGGACTAAGGCACACAATACACATGATACACTACGGTACCGCACCAAACCTCCGCTCTGCCTAAAAAAAGGGTCACTCTTCAACTTCGTGGTTGAATTCTACAACATAGACGCATATGGATTAAACTCTGCTGCGTGTGATGAAGCCCGTCACTTTGTGCCGACCATCCCCTCACACATTTTCCATCCGCTGTCCCATCCGTTGGATGCCAGACCCAAGTACCGCACGCTGAGCGGAGCATCATCCTGCCAAGTCATGAAGGACTCCGTCTCTCCTCGACGGCCCACCTGCACCAAGCCGCCCCGGTAGCGCAGCCAGTAGTACTTGTACGCGTCCTCATCCAGTCGGTCTTTGGCATCGGTCGCGGAGACCAGGCTCTCGCAGTCTTTGCACCGGCGGATGCCGCTGGTGCCTGAGAACTCGTAGTCGATCACTGCACTCGAAAAAGGATATCAGAAAATCGATTTAAAAAAACCGGGGATTATTTGGACTATAGTATTTAACGGCTTGGTGGACGAAACAAAATGAAACCTTTTACGAAAAAAAAACGCATACGTGTAATGGTAATAATTATTTTGAACAACAAAGCTATCATTTTGAAGACACAGCCACTAGTAATAATTTTCATAATAAGTGGCCCATAAAGTAACGCATTTTTTTAAGTTAAAACGCCACGGGAAGTGTACGGATACTGATATAAACGAATCAAAAATTCAGGGGATTGTATGATAATTTTTGGGCTTTGAGATCTTACAAAATAACGTTCCTTATCTATCTATTTATTATAATCAACACAAATGAACAACATTGAGGCAATAATTTGTTCATGCTTAACGATTGATGAAACCTACCGATTTCATACAACTCCTCCTCAAGCCCTTGCGGGTTTTTATCGGTCACAGTCAGGGCCAGCAGGGCCGTGGTGCCGGTACGGACACCAAACTTGACGAAAAACTCCTGATCGGGATCGAAGGCAGCGAAGGGAAACACGTATGTGTAGGTGTTAAGCGTTGTGTGATATACCCACGATTCACAAGGGGCCTCTGTAGTTTGTGGAGAAATTGAAAAAGAAAGAAAAGAAAGAAAGGTTGACAGTTTTTCGTGCTAATTAAGCAAGGTCTGACGGAGCTAGAATCATGATGTTTACATTGTTTAAATGTTGGTGAGAATATTTTAATCGAAATTACTGGTAGTACTAAAAGTGTTTGCCAAGAGTGAACACACAATTTAATGCTTACTATCAGCCCAATTGGTTTTCGCACACGAGCCAAGTTTAATTGGGTTTGCACTTTTCTCTTTAATTATAAAATTATTAATTGAGCCGAGGTTTAGACTGTTTTAATCGTGTTAACCTTATTAATTGCAAAAATCTTAGGAAGAAGCCCTAAAGCTTACCTGGATCAAAAGGTGGCTCATTTGTAGCTTTGCTTGCAGAAGTGGCCATTCTCGGATCAGACTCTTCAGTCGCAATATTCGGAATAGACTTTGTCGCAAGATTCGGAGTCGACTCGGTGGCGCTGACATTTGGAACAGACTTCGTCACAATATTTGGCTCGGTTGCAGAGAGGTTTGGAAATATCTCCGTCGCAAGTTTCAGGTCAAACTCCGTCGCACTGTTCGGAATAAACTTAGTCGCAAGATTCGGAGTCGACTCGGTAGCAACATTTGGAACAGACTTCGTCCCAATATTCGGAGTCGACTCGGTGGCAATATTTGGAATAGACTTCGTCCCAATATTCGGAGTCGACTCGGTGGCAATATTTGGAACAGACTTCGTCACAATATTCGGAGTCGACTCGGTGGCAATATTTGGAATAGACTTCGTCACAATATTCGGAGTCGACTCGGTGGCAATATTTGGAACAGACTTCGTCAAAATATTCGGAGTCGACTCTGTGGCAATATTTGGAATAGACTTCGTCACAATATTCGGAGTCGACTCGGTGGCAATATTTGGAACAGACTTCGTCAAAATATTCGGAGTCGACTCTGTGGCAATATTTGGAATAGACTTCGTCGCAATATTTGGAGTCAACTCGGTAGTAATATTTGGAATAGACTTCGTCATAATATTCAGAGTCGACTCGGTCACACCTTGCGAAATAGTCTTTGTCGCATCATTCGGGATTGGTTCGGTATTGCTATTCTCATCGATATCTGGAGTCGTTCCGATACCAGCAGCGGTCGGTGCCTCTTCTGTGTTCGGGGCGATGGCGTCTGGGCACCCTAGTCTCAACTTCACTTTCACGCTGTCATCGGTCTCTCCCGTAGTGAAGATTGGCCCGGGAGTACGAGTATGTGCTTGCGGGTAATGTCTCCAGACCGGCCGGGAGCGTTTGGCATTGAAGCCCCCAGGAACAAAGCCGCTGCAGCCGCAGGGATCGCGGCTGAGAACTACCCATGAACTGGTTAATTTGCGTTGGTTTGATTGCTGGCCAACATAACAGACGCATCCCGCGACTGCTTGCAATGAAACCACTGCATGAATACAACCGAGAATAAAAGTAAAAGACCAGTCACAATAATGTCACGTCATGTACAAATAACATTAAGAATTAACTTTAAAAGTGCATGTAATTAATTTGTAGTCATTAATTCTTTAATTTTGATATTGTGGTTAGAATTCGTTATAACATACCTCAAGAGTTTGCAAGTATGTTTTATTTGACTTACCGGTTATAAAACACAACAGAAAAATGTCCGAGGTAGGAGACATCCTGAAGTAACTACCGACTCTATACCAATACAGTCGCATGTGAGGACGTATCGAAACTTTCACTGGACTAGCGTGGCGCAATAAAACAAGCTAAAATGTTCTTCACCGATATGACACTTGAAGTATAGGGCCAGTAGAAATCGAAGATTCCCTTGACTAAAGATTCTTCGAAGTGATTACACGAACGAATCAAAATCGATGGTGCTCTTGAATGAAATCCTTCAAATGATGACTGTTGGGGGGAAAAATGGCTTTGATGTATTTTTCCTTTAACAAGGGAATGTTGATATCAAAATCAGCATCTATTCTACAAGAAATGTAAGATAGCGAACAACCTATATAATCTCATAAATCATTTCTGAATCTTAAGTTCATTTTTGTTTTCTTATCAATTGGTCAGTTTGCCCGTTAAGGCATTAGTTTCGGTATAATCCACTCTATATACGGCCATACAGCGTCGCAAACGCTAAATCAATATAGCAATCTCAACCTTCCCGTCATGGCTCTGAAATTGATATGGATTTAACCAAGGTTGAGAGTAACGCTAGAGAGTGGAATGACCGTCAATGAAATATATGGATTTCTCAATTATAAGCAACAGGTCCTTGCCTTTATACCGACGTTTTCTCTTGAAATATCACCATTAAGGCAGGATACATTAATAGCTCTATCGTGTAGCTATACAGCCATTTCGGAGCACTGATTGGATGATACGTGGTCACGTGAAGCCGTTGTCACTGCCGTGATTCTTCTATTAAATAAATTCAAGATTATGCACGCATGCGCCTACTTAGACAGAAGGTCCCGTCTTCCCTACATCGCCAACGAACTGAGGAAGCTTGTGCACTTCAATTAAAATAATGAGAAAACTAACAAGGTTAGAAAAGTATACCTTGATTGTTCTTGTGATAGCGCCACCAAGCGCTCATCAAAATATGTTTCCAGACTTTTTCTGGTACGCCAATACAATAAGTAAAAAAAGGACGTTATGTCTGGTAGTGAGTTGGACTTTGAAATGCAATTTCCGTTTTAAATCAAGCCAAACAATATAAAGGGTCGTGCTTCTCCTGCCAGACAAGGGGATGTTTGGCGCATATTCAATTTGCTGTGTAATCCTACATCGGCACGAGATACATCACCATAGCAACGCATCATCGAATGATTCCTCAATCATGTAAATGGGCTTTTAAATTTACACGGCTGTCCTTGCTTGAGTGAGCAGCTGCAGTAGAAATGGATTATTTACCTACTAGCTCAGTAAGCGACATAAGTAACGACAAGAAAGCTATTTGGTTTTAAGTTGCAGCTTCGTTCGAATGTGGCGCAGAGGCAAGTGCTCATACCAGAGTGTAGAGAGTTTTCCATGCCCTTCCAGCATGCATCGGGGAATCGATACTGCGCGAGCGATGAAGAAATAGTAAACAGGAAGAAAACACGACAATGCCATGTCTCATGGCCAATAATTGATCAAGGGTGAAGTGGGCGTGAAAGGACAAACAAACACAGGTCGGATGCATGACAGGTATGAGGTTCAAACAGAGTCAACGAACATTCTCATATAATATACATCACGAGTGTCGGCAAGGCATATACTTGCACGAAGCGTTTGTGAAGGATGATGAGCAATTCCGAGGTTACAATGCAAGCAACTGTTGCTAACGACAGTGCCTCGGAAGTCTTAATTATCGGAGACTCTGTGATAAGAGATGTCAGCGAACGTGGGCTGTGCAGTGTCACCGTGAAAATGATGCCCACAGCCAGTGTGGGAGATGTCAGGCACGAAATCAGTTCTAAAGGAATTGATTTGAAAGCCTTCAAGACGATCATTCTGCACATCGGGAGCAATGACTGCAAGGAGACCAGCGGACCGGAGCGCGCTGTCGAGGCATACCGCAGTTTACTTGGAGTCATCGGCGAGCTGGCACCGGGCACCGCACCGGTCATATCGACCGTCTGTCCAAGGAAAGACTCCCCGGAGAACCAGGCCAGGGTGGATACCTTCAACCTGGCCATCAAGGAGCTCGCCCGGGAACACGGGTGCAGCATCGTGGACAACGACAACAACTTCAAGATGAAGGATGACTCAATCGACCCGTCTCTCCTGGACAAGGGCGGGCTACATCTCACGCAGGCCGGTACGCTACGCCTCCTGAGGAACTTCCAAGTTGCCGTGCCGAACATCATGCGTGCCGGTGACAAAACCAAGAACAAGAAGTCCCGTCTGAAGAAGAGAACTCATATCGAGAGAAAGATCGATGGGCCCCGCCATGGCAGTCACAACGGACGCAGACCACACTCCGGGTCTGTCAGTGGGGCAAGCTCCTGCCAATACTGCGGAGAAAAGAACCATTCTGCCAGCCGATGTAAATTCGAAGCCCCGCTAATATGCCACAACTGTTATCGACCGGGGCACAAGAGCTGGATGTGTACCGTTGACAGAGGGAAAACTCGTGCAGGGCGGGACAAGAAAAAGTGGAACACAAAATGACTAAAGTGCATTTGGTGGTTTTTATCATCACTTGTACAGAAAACATTCACGCGTTTTTATGTGATTAACTGCATGGAACAGTTATGAATAAGTGCACCACACGAACTTCAGTGGATGTGTAGGCCTATAGGATAACCACATTTTCGTTTTCTTCGCAAAAAAGACTCAATTTGTTCCTTCTGTAACCAAAGGTATTTTACATTGTGGATTTTAATGCTTGCAATGCTTACATTATCGGTACAAAGCAATTATAGGCCCGAATGGTACACGAGAAAACTCTAATGACTATCCCATTGAATAAATAAGCAAAGGTTTCTGAAGTATGGAAACTGCATAATCATATGGCTCTGGTACTTGAGCTCCTAAGATAACCAAAGAAAATCTGAATTTGCAATTAATTTACTCGAAAGCTGAAGGACATTTAAATAACATCAGTGTACACGACGTCAAGCTTCGGTTTCACGACGTGTTTCAATGTTATCCTTATACTACATCATTAAGCTTTGAAGAGTATAAATTGTAATGAAATCCTCTGAGAGTTGAGTCTTCATTCTTCAAATTTGAATACAATGTACAATATTCAGAACATGACATTCTAGAGTATACATGTAATTCTCAACATTGCCTCTCGATAAAATATGTAGATCACCATGCCAACGTCACCATTTTTGTTTGGGTCATAATGACCGTAGAGGCTTTTAAACAAGTAGGTTTTCTGCAAGGCGATGCCAATGAACGACGCAAGCAATAGATCGATTGCTGTCATTGTAGCGTATAATTGCTCATTGTGATGCCAGGTTGAGGATACTGCAGTTACCATAGCAACAGTTTTTATCAACTTGGCACAGGAACCAAAATAAAGAGATGTACATTGTGCAAGGCAGCCCCCGGTCTTATTTGAATAGCTTGGACAAGGCCAAGGAGCTACCAAGAATTCGTTTCTATACCATGACAATAGAACATCCTGGTTCAAATACCGGTTATTCCGACCAGAATACAGTTTTAAGAATATTACGAAAATTTGTGAAAATCACAACAGAGTTCAGTAAAGGTTTCCACGGCCGTACCACGTGACTACGTGGTCATAAGGTCAAATGGGAAAAGACAGGACCAGAAACTTACACCCAAAGCCAACTCTGAACGCCATTATCAAATAATAACATACTCTTTTAAACTCAACTTTGGTCGGATTGTTTGTTATTTCTTTTTTTGGGGGGGGGGGGGTTCGGTAGGGCAGGTTTATACAGCCTAAAAATGGCTGCTTTCCACTAGATATTGTAAATTCACAGCTTCATAAAAGTATACCATCCAAATTGGCATTTCGGATTATGAGAGATTTCATTTTAAGGCCCTAGATGATTAAAAATGAACACAAACAACCTAGGCTATTATACATCATAATTAATAGTCACTTTCATGCATGTAAAACCATGCATATTTCATCAAACATGAGAATCATCACATCTGAAGTGCTCCCATTTAGTTTAATTTTTAATGGTCGCCATTGGCGACCGAATTGCGCTGTCCTAGTTTTTTTTTATAACATCCTGAAACCTGCATATTTTTCCCCAGTAGGAAGCATGATATGAAATAATTATTTCCAACGTAATATTGGGTCACTATAAAAATACGAGCCCTTTGAAGATTTTTTATGATGAGGCATCCGCATAAAACTGTTTATCTAGAATTTAATCTGTTCTATTGGTCCTTGTCTTTCTTTGTTTTCTGCTCAGCTGCATCATTTGTTTTGTTTTGTCTCTCTTCGTAATAGTGCCAAGTTAAATGTTTGTGTTTTTCCAGTTTCTAAGTCATACTTTGCAAGCCATATCTGAGCGTTCGACCTCTCGTATCGCCTCCGTGTTTCACAATGTTGACTAAGTAATATCGCATTATTATCTTCTTTTTTTGTATTATCCATATACTTATTGTCATATAATTGTCATATAATTATTTTAAAAATTACCTAATTTACTCTTTGGGGGTCCTTTCTCAGGCCTCATTCTTGGAACAAACACCAAGTTCGCATTATTTCCTCAGTATCTGATTTCAATCTGCGGTGATGAAGGATCCCTATATTTTCCAAGAGAGATGTTACACTTCGGTTATTAAATTATCACAGTTAAATATAATTGCCTCCGTTATTCATTATCATCAGTATTTTATAATTACGAAAAAAGTCACACTAAAATGATTATCCTTATTGGTGAGAACAATGCTCCCGGGTAACCATGACAACCAATGCCTTTGTGATAGTGTAGACCACGGTTTTAAAACGGATGCACTATTTTAAATTGGTCAGCATTGTTGTTTAAATGGGTTCGGAGTGTAATTTTGATGTTTGTTCGATCCACATTCATTTACAAAATAAAAATGAAAATATGAGATTAACCATTGCATTGCAGCCTTATCTAAACAATTTCTATTATTTTCTATATATCCAACGTCGCCTGAAATGACCGGTGTCATTTCTTGCAAAACATAATTACGCCTGATAGTAATATGCTGACCTCTTTATTGTTCAGGTATTATAACGCTGATCCCCGAATACAAAGCGCGTTTCCATGAAACTAGTGATGGGATGGTAACACTTGCATCTAACGACTCTGCCAAGATTCTTATCATTCGATAAATATTCAACTTCTTTGTATACACGGTTGTAAAACGTCAGTATAGTTATTGGTTGCAAAATAACGGGGAAAAATCCACTGAGTTTCATTCAATGTCATTGTCACCAGGTGTCAAAAACGTGCTCTCTCTCATTGGTCACCTAAGCAACCACACATTCTGCGTTCCGGCCACAATAGAAAAAAAATCGTGTTTCTTGGGCACAAAAAACGAGGCACGGTTCACTTTTTATCTACCTGTGTATGAAAAGCATTTGCTTTGGGAAAATTTCAAGTAAGCCAATATTTGTACCATATACATGTTCGTCGAACATCATTACTTTCACAAGCGTTTCAAGGACTTTAATCATGTCATTAGCTAATGTACAGTTAATTAGCCCGTAGCTCTTATGCACACCGTAAGGGAGCGCAGCTACAATGAGACTGTTAATGGTAAAAAAAAAAACCCCTAATTTTGTTTTCTTCCAAAATACCATTTTCTTGACCTTTAACATGTCACTGTCCTATACATTTTTTGTTCAAACTCTTTTAAACAAAAAGGATTTCGAAGAAACCTTCAAACCTAACTTTTTTTTCTGGAGACTTAAATCAAAAGAGCCACAATTCATTTTGGATTTACCGCATGTTTGCCAGAAGTTCTTACGGCCTTTTTTACCCATTAGGAAGTCTGAATGGGTTGCCACTTGAGTAATGAATGGATACGATGGGGCTAGATGGCACTAGGTCAGCCGCCGCAGACCGAAGTTTATTGACTTAATATCTGCAGAGAAATGCCCCTGGAAACATGTATTGATCACACCAATGCCACCGACCATCACTCTGAGATTGACAGCCCCATTCAACAGGTGTCAGGTAACAATGTTGCACTATTTTGCAACACATTTATATTTATCTTACTATAAGTTTGCGTTTGTTCATGCTTTCTTTGTAGGAATCACGAGAAATGGTGCGAGTACGGGAGAGTGTATAGATGCGGATTGGAAAAAAAAGTTGTTACGACGTCATCGTGATATGATATTTCACCATAACGGCATGATCCTATAGCTCGAGATGCCCACTGTCCATATACTGCGCCGAACATGCTAATCACACATAATTACTACGTTGTAATGTGATCGTCATTTTTTTTACCCAAGCGGATATGCTAGAGCTTTTGTTTAATCTTCATTACTTTGTTTGCGTTCGGTGAACTATTAGGCAGGCAACCATGACGAATGACAAAGATACTTTGCAAAAAAGGGTATTCTTATATTTCGCTGCATGATAACCGTTCAACCAAAGCAATTGACTGAAACTGAGTGGAATTTCGTCTTTAAATTTATTCCATGTCACTTCACTTAATGAGGAGATATATTCCATAATTACGTTGCCTTTTTAGGATGTAAAGCCGACGCTTGCATTCTTTGAAATCACCGCCCTCTCGTTTGGGTGAAGTTCACTACTGCAATTGTATGATGAGTAACTTCCGAAACGTGGCTGTACCCAAAATTCTTTTCAAAAGTGTACATCGGCAGGTGAAAGAGGTTTAGGCCTATACAGATTCGTACTCAATTCAGGTGGTCCAATTAAGTATGGTAGAAGTATACAGTGTACTAAGCACGCAATGCGGTGCATATCAAACACAATATAGTTTGACAAATTTATCTCTAAAATATCATGTTTCCTTAACGTTTTGTAACTTCGAGTATCCATCACCCGTTGTGTAGAAAAACAGTGCCACTTTTTTGGTATTTTACTTTCAATAGGAATTCATGTGAAGGAAGAGTGGCTATAGCCGTTCATGCCTGCCTCAATCTTGTAGAACTCTCCAAAACCTAGGATCCAGGGGGTGGGGTTAATGATGTGGCCATCGGCACAACAGTATCTCACTTAGCATGAGTCTGTAGGCCAGACCTTTATATGGCTGTACAATCATGATCCTTTTGGCCTTTTCCCCCAAGTTCAGGGTGCAGATTAATCCATCACATAATCACCGAGTTTTGATGACGGATGATCAGATCATCCAAGGGTCTCGTGGCTACATTCATCGGCAGGGGGTCGCCGGCGCGCCACTCTTGGTGCCGTTTCATGTAAACTTGACGCCGATGTTCTTGTCAGTCCGCATACAGATACAAAAGGCTCCGGAACATTTTCTGTGATGTTCCAGGTATATGCACTGTCTCAAATGGGACTGGCATGCAAGCATATAGTGTGCTTCCAGATATCCTCTGAAAAGCTCTCGGAATTGTACTCATGAAATTCATGAAAATGAAGCATTCTTCGTGATATAACAAAGGAGTATATGTGTATTGTCACAGACGGATTGTTTAAATACAACTACTGGTAAGTTTTTCTTAACTTTATGATGTACATCTGCGGAAGCAGTGCCCTATTTTGTTCAACCAAAACTTAAAATGGTACGGATACCAAGTTGAAGCAGGATTGTAATGCATTCATACGGAGAGGTAAGACGTCGGCTAAGATGCACGAGTGAGTTAAACCGTTCCTTTTAATTGGTGTTTTTCTCGGTACTGATCGAATACGCATGCATGTTTGTATTTATTGGAAGATTGAAGCTTTCACTTCAGATCGGACAAACAATTTATCTGTTTATATTTGGGAGATTCGCGGGTACACAAATCATGAGCACTGCGTGTCACATACCAAAGAATAACATAAAATGCGTTTAACTTATTTTGTGCAATTTGGGGAGATTTTTCTGCAAGACTGGCCTACTAAACTTCTGCATTCAGTTTTAATCTGTTTGACTGCACATATTTTGACCCCCATCGGAATAAAGCCTCCAACCTTCATCCGAATAATGCAGCTTCAGTTTCGTCAGAAATTGATGGAGTCACTGTGCGTGAACGTCAGTATCATTACCGTTGCATTTCTCCCGTAGATGTTATACTCTCACCGTTCATTCATCGTTACACGAAATGCAAACACGACGACGCGGGGAACCATGGGTACATGATTACATAGAATCCGATAATACTCCAAACAGTTCATTTTTTCCGTTTTACTCCAATTAATCAATACATTAACGAGGACAGAAAGTCTGTCCGATTAGATAATCCCGTCTGACAAAAGTCCGTTTGTCACTGGGTGACGTTTCGGCATGGAAAGATTAATAGTAAAAAGATAACAGCCTGAAACTCCGAACGTGCAACAGAAATTACTTATTTAACTTCCACACTATAAAAAAGTCCAAAACGTCACTGGGGTAGTCGCAGTCATTATGTTCCCATTTAAACTCTAAAACGTCCCAGGTCATATTCGGCCCCAAATCTGGGTCCGATTTCATCTGACACTTTCCGGATCAAAATTACAGTTCTCTGGATCACTTTCCCACCAAAAAGTGATATCTTGACAAGGGGAAAATTGTCATTTTGACCAAGACTTTAAGGTGTCATATTCGCTCAAAATAATTTCGTTTTTGACACGGCAGAGTGTCAAGTCAAGACGGTCAAGACAGGTCAGGTCAAGACGGTTCAACTTGATAAGAGCCTTAAAATAACACAACCGAACCTCCTGGTCGGGGGTTTGAAGTTGGCATGCGTTTAAATAAATAAATCAAAAAATATATAGGACTGTTGAAAATCAGAAGAGCACATCAGTGTTGCAGTTGAGACCTCATAGTTAGACATCAAGAGAAGGACCAAGACCCCACGAACAAAACATAGTCTTAAGAGACAAAACCTTGAACTATCGATATCGAGACCGGTGTCGATACCGAGATCGGTCTGGAGACGTCACTGCTTTGAACCGATACCGATACCTTCGAAACCAACGAGACTCTGCAAATCGATGTCGATACTGAAACTGAGACAGGTCTCGCTACCTACATGTACTTTACGAGTCTGAACACGAGGGAAAGTTGCCCTAGCATGACCTTTAAATACCTTCACATTTTACCAAGGACCTCCCCTACTTTCCCTCACCTTTGGACGCCCCTGTCTTCTAAACAATCCCTTTATTTCTATATTTATATCAACCAAAATTAGATTTGTTTTATGATATCCGTATGTTCTTTACTTTTAGGGGTTTTTTTTGTTTGTTTCCAAGGAAGCTTCACCAGTGTTCCACGGCAATGACCACTGAAAATAATGTTCAAGCTCCATCGGTTTCGGGAGGTTGCAGTTGTTGACCTTCTTCTTACTTTTGTACTTGTAGTATGCATGACCTAGGCTTCGGGAGGGTTGCAGTTGTTGACCTTCTTCTTACTTTTGTACTTGTAGTATGCATGACCTAGGCCTCCAAGTCAAAAGGAATTTACGATACGGAACTAATGTATATCTGTACTCTCGATTGACTATTGAAACATCTCACGGTATGGATTTCCATTCACGGGCCGGCGTTGTTGCTACCAATGTCATTCATCAGAGTTGTTTGGTTAGCAACGCACAAAAATGACACAATGCATTTTTTTTGTTATTCTCTTTTTTTTCTCGCAGATAAAGAACTCTCTTGATAAAGGCATCATTGTAGCGTATCGGCATGGAATCGCTGCCAAATATTAATCCCCCGGGCCGGCGTCAGCGGAACATCGCCCAAGGCGTCGAAGCGAACTACCGTCAACCCGACCGCGGAGAACCGGTAGTGGGCCGGAACAACAAGTCCGACAACCAGCCATACACAGCATCTGTGTTATCACCGCTACACTTGGACTTGTCCGATAAGCCTAAAAACGGGTCGTCGGAAATACGGAAACCCATAGTTGCCAGGCATGGGGATCAGGGGGGTCGCGAACGGGACAATTTTGTCAATAAAACACAAATTGATGTGACAGCTCCCATTAATGATTCACTCGAATTAAAATACGCAAGCAATGGACCTGCTGTAAGATATGCAGATACATTTACTGCTGATGAAGTAGCGAGTCACCACTTCAAATCGCCTAACTTCTTTGGTGCGGAAAGCTCGACTTTACTAGGAACTATTGAATCAACGACACCGGTGAAATCAAGGGCAAACTCTACGTCTTCGACAGGCAAGGAGAGGCGTAGTTCTTCGAGATTATCCAGAGAAGAGGAATCTTTGGGTAGGTCCCGATTGCTAAAAGCCCCGGAGTCGCTAAGGACCAGGCATCGTGGGTTCAGTCCGAGGAGAGATCGGGGCATTTTAGACGGAGTACTGACTCGCAAGGAACGGCAAACGGTACGTAGCCTCATCAGTCCGCCTCTAGTGAACCATCTCTCGCCCAAAGACGTCTGGGATGAAGCCCAAGGCAATCGAAGACGTAGTCGTTCTGATGTTAGGTACGATGCCTTACCAGTGCTCGATAATGGTGAGATTGACGCACAGTCGTATCGATTAGTCCCGTCACCAGTACACAAACCCAAACATGACCAGCACAGCAATGCTCATCGGTTCAACGATCTCGAGTTTAACTTTTCTCTCCAGGATGGAACGAGTAAATCCAACGATACGCTTTACCCTCTTTCGGAGGAGCACGAACACGGTAAAAGTCATCATAAATTGAACAAACACCACTCCAAGGAGGCTGACCACTTCGCAAGGCACGTTCACATTCTCAGATCTACTACTGAACCGTTCAAGAACCACCTCGAAGACAGAACAAGTCATCAACTGCATAACGCAGCGCGGCAACATCGTCGCAACGCCATCACGCACATCATGGACAGTTTTACCGAACGCTCGCGTTCCGGATCCGACTCGTTCCGCGGGGATCGTAACGCGACCGTTTTGGACGACACGTTTCAACGCGTCCGCCCTCGACGAGACACGTGCGCCGTCAACCCCGGGGCACTCACCCTACGTTTTAAGCAAGGCTTTAAGGACGTCTTGAACATTCCCAAGAGACGCAGGGCCTATACAGATATATCTTTTACTGACAAGACCCCAGTGAAGGCTCCTGCTGCTAGAAGGCTCTCCATTAACTCGCAACAGCGGTTGATACGCGCACAAATGGTAAGTCAAAATTTGTTTAAAAGTACAAAAAATTCTGATAATATACCTGACAATGGGTTAAGGATGCTACTGTTCGGGAAGAGATTACTGGAAACGTCCTCTCGATTTCAAATCAGCAATAGGGGGCGCAATGCAAGGACATTTTTCAATAATTATGTATACCGCTTTTCTTTGAGCTTGACATTTTTATTTCATGGCAAAAGTCAAGATTTGAACTTTCTAAATGGGTGGTGAGTTGTCTATGTAGGCCTATTAAAAAAATAGGTGCGTGTCGATAGACCAACCATAGCTATGTATACTGCTTTGTTTACTAGAATGAAAGTTATTGGTTGTTAACGTTAACAGGGCGATAACTGAAAAAAATTACAATCTCCAAAGACGTTAAACGGCGGCATTTGCCTTCTTCCATAAAATATGCACATTACACCTCGCCTGACTACCTCTCAGTAACATCTAAATATCGAATAATCACAGGTATGGCGAGAACTAACGGTTAATGGCCTACAATACAAAGGGGTAGACTACTATAATCTGGTATTGAAATAACTCCCAGTCGATAAAGTTTGGAGTTAGAACAAAAAATCGATACTTGTAATCACCACCTCAGGGTCGATTCTTTAGTAAATGCAAAATATAAAAGACACTTGTTCTTGTATGTTTTTCATGCACTTAAGGCGTTAGTTCTTGTACATACACACAACTGCAAGGATCAATTTCAGACAAGACGGGGACGGCTGAACATTTGATACCAAAATTCGCAATAGTTTCGAATATTTCGGTATCGATTTGCAAAATAATAATGATTTTTGGAAACCTGCGCACCAGAAAGGAATACGTTTCAAGGAAGGGCCTGGATGTATTTTGGGGGTCTACATTGCAAAGCGTGCAACTAACGGTACAGCAATTTATAATTTTGTCATAAGTTGCCTGCTTTAAATATAAAAGACATTTCAAGATATTGAACCTTTGTTGGGCGAATAAAAAACCGAGTACAATGGCAGAAAGTTTAATACCTAGGCCTACATTAAATTGGTTTAACTTTACATGAGATGACTCGTTAAATAATTAACTTACGAGCAAAATATGTTCTGGAAAAACTAAAATTCCAATAGCCACGAACTGTGTTTGATGATCAAACTCTCACAGATTTACAAATACATGTAAAATTAAATAAAACATCTTTTTCAATGCCATTTTCATCATTTCCAAATTAGATAAAGCGTCTTTTGCAATCCTATTTTCATCATTTCCTTTAACATGAGCCATTACTAAGTAAAGGTATAAGTAATTTGAAATTAGATTGACACCTTTAGTCTGGAACGAGAGAATACACCTGCAATTTATGTAAGAACTCGTTCCATTGCAAGCAGTATCACCTATGCAGTTGTGATGTTTAGCACGTTCACAACAAGTTGAAGGTTAGTTGAGAAGCGCTTGTGATTTGCCGGCGCGTACAGAAAGAAGAAACCATTGATGCCGGCTAATGCAAATGATGTGAAATCAAGAAGGTGGATAGGGTGTCCTGTCGGTGATGTATTGATGTCGAGATTCCCAAGAACTGTTGGTTAGGATTGTGTTGGGCGGTTTGAGTTTAATAGCAGCTGGCTACATGTATTTTAACAAAGGGTTTGCTACTTGGGAGAGGTTTAGGATACACCACGCGTCAGGTGCATGTATTGAAAAACTTAGGCGGTTTTGAGAAAGAGCAAAGGTATTTACTTGACATTTCAGCCAGTGTTCTCTGACCGTCATCGGCAGAACCTAATGGAGGATCTACAGAACAGGTTTACAGACTGAGATTTGAGTTCCAGTCGCCTTTCTATGCTGGAAGGATTATGTTATCTCTGCTGCGATGGATTGACTTTGTAGGTAGTTGTAGCAAGATCAAGTGGATGAAATTCGCCTGCGCTGATTGTATTTACGTGTGGCCGTTCCTTTGTGTGTAGGGCGTCCATCACTTTTGTTTCAAGTTCGTTGCAGTAAAAATGGTGGATAATGGATAGATAGCATCGTTTGAGTTTGGTGGAAGGATCAATATGCCGGGACTAATCTGCTACACTAGGATATGAGCAACTTATTCAATCTGCCGAATATTGAGTCATCACTTGATTACACCTTGGAAATTCAGCGGGTAAAATTCATCTTGTTGGAGCTTATTTATAGCTTCAAGCAGCGGCACCTACGTAGATGGATTATAGTTAAAGGACCAAATTGCGGTGATTCTTCGATAAGGCTGGAATACGAGTCCTATCTTGAATTCATCTTGGTATTCAGATCAAATCTCGGCGGGAGAAACCCAGGGAGATTTTCGACACGGGAAACCGAAGCCAAGGCCAAGGCCAAGGATTTTAGGGGAGACTGAGATGTTTGTATATATCGCAGCCTTGCAGGTATCAACGAGTAAAGTGTTGATAAAATTATAACGGCTATGAGTTTGTGAATTTGCATGCGGCTGAGGGTATATCAGCCACCAACACTTGTGTCGGCGCCCGGCCAACGAATGCTATCGGGAGTCTTTATCAAAGAAGTATTCTCTCCACTTGGACTTTGAATTTTTTTTGGATGGAGATCAAACAATAATTGTTGCAACTTGCGATAGGATACGAGTATCATTCCTGCAGTGTGGACAAAATAGTTGGGAGCACTTGAAGTTGTTATTCATGCACGGAGGATTTCGACAAAGGACTAGAGTACGCAATAGCGCAATAGTGTGCAACTTTTAACCGCAGTTAGTTATTAAAAAAAATTATTTGCCACAAATACAGAAGATGGCACCAGTGACTTCCATGTCAGTATCTAGAGTAACAGAGCTGATCTTTAGGTGACTTTAAAGGACAACCTAAAACATTCTACAAGAGTCCAGGAACGAGTTGAATTGACAGCAAATTTCAAGTAAGGATTCAATTGACAGAAAAATCGTTCAATTATTTTTTTTTGTCATCCCAACGTATGGACTCTGCATGCGACAGGTGTATCCACTGCTGCCCAACAAGTAAGATTGAATTTACAACTCTGTATGTGGTCAGTGTTCCACAGCATGAAATCCTTATGTCCATCGTCCTAAAGGCAGGAACAGGCTGAAGTGAACGTTTGAGGTTTGACCTGGCTCACCTTTTAATCAACAGGAGTCCCAGAGGCAATTTCATCAAATTGATCGAGTTGAACGACCGCAGAAAACTGCGTGGTTTTCCAGATTCTTAGCTCGATTGGCGTACGGCATAAGCTTTGTCTTGGATGCTGCACTGTGCGATTTGGAACACTGTGAAACTTGGTAATCCTGTTAATAACTGTCAACTGAAACTTCCAGCAAAATGTCAAAGTTTGTAGGGAGACGGACTTCAGTACCGTACGTTCCAACAAGCCAGCGATGCCCAGTTTTGGAGCAAGCAAGCGACTTGAGAAAACCATGGGACAGGACGAGCCGCTCTCCCAGCCTAAGACCACCTCAACACACACCCTCTAAACTGGACAGGTCTGTGTCATACGACGATACGCTGTCCGAACAAGAGGAGCTCCGGGTTCAGAATGAGTGGAAGAGCGGGGGCAGTTCCTCGCAGCGCCGAAGCACGCTCGGCAGAGAACGGGCCAACCGAATGACGAAAAGAAGCCAAACTGCGGACAGGGGAGGGGGAGACCGCGGACTTTTGGGTTTGGGGGCAACTGTGCCGAGGAACTACCGGAGATTCTCGCTGTTTGTACCGGGCAAAGCTGCCGAGGGAGGACAGGGGTCGTGTGGGCCCATGACCAGGGCCATTCGGGAGATTATACAGAAGAAGCGACGTGAACAAGTAAGCATGCTCTAAGCTATAACCAAACCAGACACCCTCTTTATGCAAACATAAAATTACGCCAAAATACTACTCTTTTCCACAACTTCTAAAAGTGTAATTACATGCACATCCAATTTTATTATCACAATATTCCCATAATCACCACGATAAGGCTTCACTACAATTTTCGCGTTTCACGTTTCAAGTTGACATCAGACTTATTCCAATAAACGTTTGGTACTGCAATATCAGTACTGTTTATATCAAAATCGTGTTTAAAAATGCTCGAATTGGTCAAATTTTGCCATAACGAACAATGAGAAAACTGACGCGTGTTTTGACGATTTGAGTTATTTTTTAAGAAACGAATGATTCAATCTGACATCTTCAAATGCAGTGATTTGACTCACTTCTATTTTAGATTCATTCTGGCTTTAATAATAATTTATTGATAAAGAGTACCTCTCCTGACACGAAGCTATTACAAAATGCCCAGTCATACTGTTTTCTTTGTTAATTAACTGACCTATATCATTTCTGCGAAGGCCTATACAATATACCCCATAGTATCATAGAGCCTATATTGCATCCAAATAAGTCAGTGTTTGGGCAGCTGGTCTTATCTGGTGCGATTTTTTTTTTCTTTGAGGAATACTGCACAGAATAAAATGAACTGAAATTCATTGGTACTCTGTCACCATGGATGTGGCGCGTTACAAGGTAACGTCATTGAGACTTTGAGTCATCACCCTTGGGTTTCACGATGATTGCAGTAAACTCTATCTGATTTTACCCAGTGCAATCGGTGGGTACATATACATGCATGTTATGTCCCGAGAGCTGTTTCCTACAACGGGCATAAGCTTGCAACATTCACTAGTACATGTATGCATGCATGCACACGCGCCCTTCTAAAAGTTCTAGGGATCAGAGGTATTAGTAATACTCAACGCCCCTCCAATCAGTAAACCTTTTAAGTGTAGCCTCTTTTGCACTTGCAAGGTTTTTTTTGTTCAGTGCAAAGTAGGGCATGATGGTGTGCAGCATGAATACAAATGTATGAATCAATTATCATTGCTTGCAAAAACCGAGCATTCAGGGTTGTTGTACCCGTTTGTAATTGTATAGGCCTACCCTCTTGGAAATAAAGTGTTTTGCACTCGGTGTTGCCCTTAACGACTTTGCTCTTGAAGTTTGCAGGATTACCCACTAACATCAAGAGCCAAGGCA